GGCAATTGGTTAGGCCACAAGTCGACCTAACACTCACTAAATTTAAAAAATCAGAAACTAATGACTTACAATATAAACAAGAATATAATCAATTAAAAAGTAAATATAATACATATAAATCCTTATTTACAGATGGGTCCAAGGATGGTGGCGCAGTGGCTTGTGCCACTGTCATTGGGTCCAAAACAATATCTTCCAGATTACCCAATGACAGTTCAATTTTCACAGCAGAAGCAAACGCAATACTAACAGCTCTTAAATATATAAATAGACACCCTAAATATAAACAATATATAATATTTTCAGACTCTCTTTCTTGCCTTCAGGCTATTAAAAATATTTCTTGTAAACATCCACTTTTAATAGAAATTATAGAATTATATAATGATCTTGCAACTGGCCAATACGACATCGTACTCTGTTGGTTACCCAGCCACGTTGGCATTTCTGGGAATACAATGGCCGATGTTGCTGCCAAAGCAGCACTCAACAAATCTGTGACACCACTTCTTATTCCTTACTCTGACTACAAAGCTAGCATTAGAACTTACATCCGTGATCTGATGCAAAAGAAGTGGGACACCCAAGTAGGTATCAATAAATTACATGAAATAAAACCCTATATCGGTTACACTTACTTGGGTTGTCAGTCCAGATTTGAAGAGGTCATTCTACGACGATGTCGTATTGGCCACACAAGATATACTCATGAGTACCTATTGAAAGGTGAGGATCCTCCGTTTTGTATCCCTTGTGATGAAAGAATCACGATCAAGCATGTCCTGCTTGACTGTGTTGAATATTCCGTCACAAGGGATAAGTATTTTAATGTCAAAACATTGAAGGATCTTTTTAACAATGTAAATTATCATTTAATAGTTGAATTTTTAAAAGAATTGGATTTGTTGACTGATCTGTAAATAGCTAAATATTTTATTGTTGGTAGTTTATATTAGTAACTGAGATTGTTAGTGGCTGTACCCTCAAAGGGGGTTGAAGTAGCGTAAAATTATTGTCCTCCTGAGAGGGTACGTAAGTCCCAAAACTTCGAAAGTCAATTTAAACTTACCAGGATTTTTAATCGTAGCATTTTTGTCATTTTAATTGTAGCTAACATTTCTTACAATCGCCAGCAGCTGAAGGGATGGTGTAAATCCAACTAGGGTCCATGCAGGTAGCCAAGGTACTGTAAGTCCCCATGGTCCCTAGTATGGTGATCGACCTTCAGTTGTTGGCGATCTATAGCCTGTTTTTATCTTGTATTGTCCTAATAGTGCTATTAGTTTTAACCTTCCACACTAGTTTTAAATCTAATTGTGATATTCTAGTTGTTTTACTGTCCTTCGATGACAGGTTTTATAATATATACATATTCCATTACAATGTAAAATGTTCTCGTCACAATATGGCTGAAATATTGCCGATGTGACGTTAAATATAAACTCACTCACTCACTACAATCCACCTGCCGCTGTAAAGTGTACTATACCTTACAATCCACCTGCCGCTGTAGAGCGTACTATCCCTTACAATCCACCTGCCACTGTAGAGTGTACTATACCTTACAATCCAACTGCCACTGTAGAGTGTACTATACCTTACAATCAACCTGTCGTTATAGAATGTACTATACCTTACAATCCACCTGTCGTTATAGAGTGTACTAGACCTTACAATCCACCTGCCACTGTAGAGTGTACTATACCTTACAATCCACCTGTCGTGATAGAGTGTACTATACCTTACAATCCACCTGCCGCTGTAGAGTGTACTATACCTTACAATCCAACTGCCGTTGTAGAGAGTACTATACCTGACAATCCACCTGCCACTGTAGAGTGTACTATCCCTTACAATCCAACTGCCACTGTAGAGTGTACTATACCTTACAATCAACCTGTCGTTATAGAATGTACTATACCTTACAATCCACCTGCCGTTATAGAGTGTACTAGACCTTACAATCCACCTGCCACTGTAGATTGTACTATACCTTACAATCCACCTGCCACTGTAGAGTGTACTATACCTTACAATCCACCTGCCATTGTAGAGTGTACTAGACCTTACAATCCACCTGCCACTGTAGATTGTACTATACCTTACAATCCACCTGCCGCTGTGGAGTGTACTATACCTTACAATCCACCTGCCATTGTAGAGTGTACTAGACCTTACAATCCACCTGCCGCTGTAGAGCGTACTACAACTAACAATCCACCTGTCGTTATAGAGTGTACTATACCTTACAATCCACCTGCCCTGTAGAGTGTACTAGAGCTTACAATCCACCTGCCGCTGTAGAGCGTACTATACCTTACAATCCACCTGTCGTTATAGAGTGTACTAGACCTTACAATCCACCTGTCACTCTAGAGTGTACTAGACCTTACAATCCACCTGCCACAGTAGAGTGTACTATACCTTTTAATCCACCTACCACTCTAGAGGGAACTAGACCTTACAATCCACCTGCCACTGTAGAATGTACTGTACCTTACAATCAACCTGTCGTTATAGAGTGTACTATAGCTTACAATCCACCTGCCACTGTAGAGTGTACTATACCTTACAATCCACCTGCCACTGTAGAGTGTACTAGACCTTAAAATCCAATATGGCTGCAGTCTCATATATTCTGTGTAGGACGCATTTAGTTTGCAGAGATTTCATTGAATATCATCATTTCATATGTTTCTCACAACTCTCACTGTGAAGCATGATGGAGTTTGTTGAAGCCACCAAATGTTGTGTGCAACCGTTAATTTCTCTGGACACACTCACAGTATGACAGCAAAGTGACGACAGTCTATACAATCAGATCCTTATTTACATAACGAACAACGGCGCACATTGACACTCAGTCAGTCACATCATTGTAGTGGTCGTCTGTCCCGTTGGTCGTCATGACAACCGTGTGTGGGTTGCTAGGTACCTGTTTTAACCCAATTTCAAATCTAGTGAGGTTAAAACAGGGGTCCAGGTGTTCGACGCGCCGCGGAATTTCAACGTGGGGACCCAGTCTACCGTGCAGGGTGTGTTTTTTTAATCCAATTACATGTCTTTTTTTCTTTCCCATTAAATTTTTTTCTCCCGTTTGAATACCGTGCCCCCAATTTATGCCTCAGAGGTAATATATTCCTCATTTCTAACAACATCAAAGATGTCAGGATTGAACATTGGTGGTGATATTTAAGAAGACAGGAAATCTCACAGGGAGCATCTCATGAGACAGAACTAACTGGCGAGATTTGTTCAAATTCACTGCACTGAATGACTTAAGAGTTAAGTCAGGTCGGCAATATTTCAGCCATATCGTGACTAAAAATAATAAATTCTGAATGAATCATTTGAAATTATAAAACCCTGTCAGCGAAGGACAGTAAAACAACGAGGATGGCAGATATACAATATAACTTGTATGGAAAAACCTTTTAACCATAGAAGGCAATACAATATAAAACAGGCTATAGGTTGCCTAGACACACTGTGCTGAATGAATGCTACACACACGTATGCCAATACGTGAGTAACAAATTAACAGTAACATAACTACATTAAATAAGCCAGATAAATGGATACATTATGCGAACTGAACAATTTAGAAAAAAGGTTTTAAAGATAATCTAATGGGTCAGTGGCATGTGTCATTTCATTTAAGAACACCAGTAGTTGCGTGAAGATAATGTTTTCACCCCGGATGTCCAGCTTAGGAATATATTCTGAGATTGGCAACTGTTGCTAGTGGGTGTATAGTATTATAACTGACTTTAATACCACTGCCAGAAGATGACATAAGTGGTGCACTTGTGCCCAGTTCCTGTTTGCTTTAGGACAATAAATATGTTTAAATCAAAAACAGCACTGCTATAGTATCTCAAACAACCATTGCAATTGTAGTGCTTTTGCCTTTTGTAATTTCCATTCTCTAATGTACTTCCATTCTCTAGTATACTTCTCTAGTGTACTGTCATTGTAATTATTTGGCGGTAATGTTTATGAATTTGTAACTTTAGAATACAATGGTTAATTGTATAACGTTTCTTTGTTGTTGATTGGTTGTTTTCGAGCTGAATTTGGCAGAGATAACTACACAGTGTTCCAATTTGAAAACAATGTATTTGCATCGAAAGGCCTGGATGAGACTCCGTGTGGTAGATGGAACACAATAGTGATAATGTTTCACACTTGACATGTGTTTGAGCTGAAAGAATATTTCCTTAGTTTTTGTCTATTACTTTAACCTCAAAATGTAATATAAACATGTCACTTTTAATCAAAATACGTTCGCAAATAAGAAATGCATGATAAACATCTATTATTTTTTCTGTATTCTATACAGTGTTGTCGAGTGGTTTGAAGACGCACTGTTCCTGCAAAGTGGACTTTGAATCATGTGAACTTGAAATATGAAATAAATGTTTGTGTCGTTAATCTTCCCTACATGATTGGAAGTATCCCTTGACCAGGTGTTGGACAACTAGGAAGTCACTCTATATTGGCGCATGGTCATGTGCTCAAAAGCTCAGGTCACAAATCGGTGAAGTTAAGCAGCGTCGAGCTCGGAGAGTCCTTGGATGGGTGACCGTGTTTGCCAGCTTGACTCCTGAGAGTTTCTAGGACTTGAGTCATGCCCCACAACGAAGCACATGTGACACATTGTGGTCTCACCCTAGGCAAGTGAGTTTGAAAATGGGTACCCGGTTGAAAAAGGTCATATGACTATAACCTTCTGGCGCCTAACAGGCAGCTTTGGTTATCCGGGGTAATAATGTGCTGTGCCTTGATTGTAAGCGCTATGAGCATACCTAGTGTGGAGTTTTATTTTTATTATTATTGCATAGGGACTTAGTCAAACAGGTGTCATTGAATCTGCGTGTTTGTTTGACTGTTGTTCAGGTACAGACAGCTTCTCTGTCACCCACCACCGGCTACACAAACATCATTTAAATTGTGGGTGGTTAGTTTCATTTTATCTCGTGTGCAACAGCTTCACTCACCGACATGAAGTTGCCGAACAAAAGGCATGCCGTGTATAGAAACTTCTTCCTGTAATCTCTGGACCTCATCTTGTTTGCCCATCGTGTGGTCCAACTCTTCTTCCGAAGCCAACGACCCAACAGTTGCACTTGTCTCCATGTCCCCGGCCAAACTATTACCTCGCGATGTCAAGAACACGCTTCACAACAACGGGGCAAATAACACACATGTATAGTTCAGTGAGGCTCCAGATGTGGGAGCTACAGGACAGTTATAATATGTATTAAACTTGGGTATGGAAGAGTTACGGAACTGAGTACGTTATTTACGGTATTCTAAATATATAACTAACCTGTGTTTATATTTTTTAGCTTCCTTAACCGGTGACAAATGAAACATTTCAGCGTTGATTATTGTAACTGTTTTATTTGTAGATATAAGTCGAAAATATATCTAGTAGTAAGTAAATGCATGCATTAAATATATTGCCAGTGGCACAGTAACATGCATGCTATAGTTGTTTAAACACTCGAGCATGGGGATTTATTACCGTAATGCAGTGTAATTGACCATTGCCTATAGTCAAAGTATTGTTTTACTTACTGCCGCCATATCAAACATGCTGATTTAACACACACTTTTTACACTTACCGATGGCCAAATGAAGATGTGTATATACGTATTAATGATGAGCTGAACATGACCAATGTATGATTCTTACTTGACCAATGGCAAGTTGATCCTGATCTCAAGCTCATTCCAAAAAGTCTTGGTTTCCTTACAATTCCAGTATACATGACAGATTGTTTCCTGTAGGTCATTACAAAAACTGCACATGTCAGAATCTACTAGTTTCATTTTCAAGAGGCTCCCTTTTGGAATATATTACTCCAGGTAAGAATTTAAACTGAAAATCAAGAAGTTTAACATGTTTTAAACAATATCTATAAATACTGAAAATCTTAAGCCATTCAAAGTCACAATTAAAAGGTTTTTTCCCATTTCGAACATATCTAAGTTTACTGTCATCTGATATGTCTTTCATAGAAAAGTCTTGATCCTTTTGAGACTGTAATGAGGCTTTTGTTACAAATGGTAATGTTCATATTGTTGATAGGTATCATCCTGTTATTTCTAATAGTTTGTTTCCAGGATATAGGCAAGACGTGTATAACATAATTGTAGTCCAACATTGTTCCTTTATATCACACATATGTTTTAGTGTTACCAAAGGCATTAATTCAGGTTTATCACATACATCTTTAATAGTTAAGATTCCTTTATCAGCCCAGTATTTTATGAAGTGATGAGTATGCTTTTAATCTGTGATTAAACCAAAAAGGCTGTGCAAAGATTATATCATCAATGTTACCTTCATCAACTTCAGTCTTTTACAATATTTAGTCCATGCTTTTAGAACATCAATCGAATAAGGGTTTGGGATATCACATTTTTTTAAGCATTAGCCCCAAACTTGAATATATCATTGAAGGATTCTGCATCAAAGTTGGTCTCATGTTTGCATTATGATCAGCATTTCATTGAATATTATATGTTTATTAGTTTTCGGGTTAGATTGCAATTCACCGGTCTGCTTTTGAGCCAAGCGGACTATAATGTCGACATCGTGAGGGTCAGTGAGTGAATAGGGTATTACGCCGCTTTTAGCAATATTTCAGCAGCATCATGGCAACTGACACCCGAATTGGGCTTCATACACTGTATCCATATGTGGAATCGAACCTGGTTCTTCGATGTAACGCTTTAACCACAAATGCTACCCTACCGCCCCGGTACATCGTGAGAAGTTATAAGTAACCACTGAGTTGAATACTGTGATGAACCGCCTCATCATTCAGTTGTCAATGCATATAAAGAGGAAACTAGGTATGGTGACACCTCCAGTACAGAGCCTCACAATTTTCATGCACAGATTTCATAGACACAACATTCACGTTTTCATGGCCTCATTTACAATTATGTATATTTCCTCCTTTCAGTCTGATAACACCAATTTCCACATAAAATGGTGGACAATGTGTTCAGGTGTTAATTCCTTTTGAGCCAACCAACGATGCTTCCTCGGGTTGGTTTTGACATTGACTGTTGGCAAATCAGTCAACTGCGTTGTGTTTTTGTTATGAACTCTTTGTTGAAACAATCCAGACTGATTTCACCTGGACCACACCGTGGTCCGGTCTAGCTAAGATATATTTGGCGGTCGCGCAATTTGGAACCAGAACTGTACTTATTAAACACTCCAATTCTATCTTGGGATAGGTCTGGTATTGCCTCGTGTACATAAAGAGAAAATATTTACACGTGAAACTTGGGAGCGAAAAACTTTTATGGAATTCAGAATTCCAAAACTACAAAAGACTGTCGAAATTATATGCATATCTTTGTAATGCATATTTGAAGAAGACAAAGGAACAGGCGATACAATCTAATGCAGCAAAAATTGTGCTGAATTCAGTCTGTTGAAATATACTAAAGTTAAGTTTCACTTATTTGAACTTTCATTTGGATGACTGCTGTCCAAATGGAACGAGTCTCTTTGACAGTGTATTTATTTCGTTTGATTATGACGCGTTGATGCAATAACCAGTAACAGGTGTATATGCAGCAAGATGTATTTCAAAGACTCTTAGATTTGATCACATCACACCTGCTCTCAAAACCTTGCACTGGCATCACGTCTCCTCTAGTAGTATCTTCAAGATGCAAGCGGTACCCATGACTGTCTCAACAATAATTACCCTGTATATCTTAAAGACTTCATGTATACTCCAGATCTTGCACTACCTCAGTGCAGCCCTACTTAAGCAGCTTCTGTCTACTTCGATGTCTGACAGCATTACCCAACTACTTGTGTGATTTTAATCATGACTAAATGTGAGCACAATTTAAAGGTTCATGCAGGTAGCAAAAGAACTGTAAGTCCCCATGGTCCATAGAATGAGGACCTACCTTCAGTTGCCGGCGGTCTACAGCGCCTATTTTAATGGTGCTAACTGTAATATGTAATCTTTGTGTTAAATAGAATATTGTAATATTTGGAATGGTTACTGGATATAAATTCTGATATCTTGCTAATATTGCGATGTCTTTACAGATACATGTACATCATATATTTAACATAACTCTCCTCGTCACTATGAAATGGCCGAGGTGAAGTTTAACTCATTCACTCACTTAAGCACCAGACTTTCAGGAATGTGTTTACACGTGTGCTTTAACCTGGTTTTAACTTTGACAATTTAATGAGTTCATTGAACTTAACAAAACTGTCATGGTCATGCGTTTGTTGGCCTAGATACGTCTCTATTGTAAGGTTGTATTTTAAAATTCCAAAGAATTACATAAATATCATTTTCAGAGTCTATCATTCTGAGTTTAAACCACATGCAAGACAAAAACGGTAATAAAATGATCGAGCCATGCCATGATGTTGTTTAAGATAATGTATTTGTTTAATCTACATTTCATGTTCATTTTACATTTTGGCATGTCTGGTCCAGGACTCGGTTATTTACAGATCACCGCCATATAGCTGGATTGTTGTTCGATGTGGCTTTTAAAAACAAACAAATACATTTGGATGCAGAATTACAGATTTGTTGTTTCTAGGGTGAAGTGACTCAAGTCTTAGCAGCAAACAAGAAGCTTTCTGCATTGCTTTTTTCTTATCAGGCCAAGTATCGATTCTGCACAATGCACAGTGAAATTCAGTCATAAAAGACTTAGATTTTCCACCTTGATCAAAATACAACTTCCAAATTTAATGGGTGATGGGATCTTTTGTCTGAATTAATTCTTCAGCAAAGGTGTCAATACATTGAATGTTATGTTTTGGACAATCATCAAAAGCAGAGTATTCAGGATCTGGACTCCAGATGTTCTTAAAGGAGAATCCGAACGAAAAACGAAACTTTGGATATATTGTAAAGGATATTTTAAAAGTCACCTTCCGTGATTAAAACTGAACAAAAAGTTTGTAAAATAGCAATAAAAACACAAAACACGTACTCGTTGTTCCGCCTTTTACGGAAACACCCGACTGTTAATGAGCAGAGGGGGGCATGAAGTGACATGACGACATATGTGCCTGTTGCTGATGGCTGCCTCTTTGATTTTACTTCACAACTTAACAGTGTCCGTGGATTCTGAAGCAGTAAAAGGTGTTCCTGATATCATTTCTGAAATGGATGTTAGACCGTATCAATACAATCCGATTTTACATGTTAAAAAGACAATATTCCAGTAAAGATGAAGAAGAAGAATCAAGCGAAATCGAGGCACCGCTTGAGTTCAAAAATAAATTCAAAAATATACCATATCATTTAACAAGAATACTCATTTGACAGCAAAATGTGATACAGTTCTAACCAGCAAACCCAGCCCTATAAGTATATGACCAGTCCCTAAGAATTATATTTTTGCAATGTGAGCAGTTCTTTGTCTCAAATGGGTGACTGTAGGGTGTCTGGGATTTAAAAACACAATATTATGCTTCAGACGGGGAAAAATAGAAATTATCTGCTTCAAAAATTACACCGGAGTTATTTTGTTGAAAAAAAAATAGGATCCTAGTTCTCATTAATAACGTAGCAAGTCTCCACACAAAATCCAAGCCTGGTCGAGCAGAGATAATATTCGCGACGCAGATAAGTTATTCCCCGAAAACTGGTGAATCATATAATACTTGTCAGGAAAATGTATGTTTCCCCAGTGTTTGGTTATGGAAATAGTACTCGGCCATAGCCTTTAGAATGGCATCTTGTCAGCCAATGTGAACACAGAACAACTTTCACGGCACACACTACTGACACATAGCTAGTCTGATGCCGACGTGCGTAATTGGACAATATGGAAAACAATGAAAGCAACAAGTACTTCATGATGTGCCGTTGTATTCGGCAACGTTTCGGGTAGTCTGCGCTACATTTAGGGCTCCAAATCGAATAGAACGTCATAGCGAAACATTTTCAAGCTCATGTGAAATCTCTTACTGATTTTGATATCTATCTCGTAAGTACCAGTGGAACTGCCCCAGCTACAAAATGGCCCAGCAAATTTGGTCAATCATTCTAATTCT